TTATATTTATTATAGATATATGTTTGAGTGAAATGAACATTGTTCTCTTATTTTATGAAATACTGACAGCATTTCTGAACTTCCAGGCAAAAATGTATTATTTATTTGGAGAAAATGAAGAATTGAAAAATAATGAAAAACATGCAGTGCTTTCAGACGTCAAATAATGCAAAGAAAACAAGAAATGTGTTCATTTAGAAACAACAAAACTAATGTTTGAACTCCGGAAGAGTTCAGAAATCAGTGTTTGGTGGAGAAACCAGGAAGTTTTCAAAGGGGTTCAGTGCAGTGGGCCCTTCATTTTTTCTCCAGAGCTGCTTTTCGCAAAGAACGAGGGGCAAATCTCCAAATGTCCAAAGCTGGTAGAGCTGCACGCTAAATGATTTGCTGCAGACAGACAATTTAACAACTCATGAGGGATGAAAACAAATGACGTGGCTCTTTTTAGATTTTTAATTAAGCACTTAGAAAACCATACATCCTAATCCTCTCAGGTCTGTTGTGTTGATCTGTCACACAAAATCCCAGCAAAACTCATGGAAGTTTGTGGTTATGACGGGACAAAATTTGCAAAAGTTTAAGGGAAGTTCCTGTTTTTACAATACGCTGCTCATCCCTGTCCTGTCACAAACCCAGACGGATCTATGGATCTCAGTGCAAAGACGTGGGATCAGATGCACCTTCTGACCTGAAGTTCAGTGGTGTGCTTTATGTTTGGTATCCTCTCACACTCTGCTGACTGGTGTGTAATGAAACACTGGTTTCGGTGTCTGCAGGAAGCTTTGTTGTGGCCCGGTTGATCTCTGAAGGCAGACCTACAACTTATTTATAGCTCCTCTGTGGGTGTTGGAGGAAATGGTGCATGGGCTGCGGGTGAGGCCTGTGTTTGCCTTAGGAGAGGACTCTTCCTCACAAACAGACCGAGCTCATCCTGGAGCCTGAGCAGGCGGGTGCAAAAAGACACTGGATTTGAAATCTGGTCCAGATTTCACACAGACTCCACTTTGGTAAAAAAAGAAAAAAAAAAAAAAGAAAAGTCACAGGCGGCTTATTGATAGCATGTGTGACATTCCACCATCCCTTCTCAATATTCTAGCCTCACTCAGAGGATTCACAGAAAGTCAGGCCAACTGTGGCTGTGAGACTATTTGACTTGTACTTCATAAACCATTTTCTGTGATCTCTTTCCTTTTGTCCACTGAGTGTTTTTAACTTATGTCCTACTCACCTAGTTACAATCTTTCTTTCCTGATCGTGTTTTGTAAGAGAAAAGTTAGATTTTTTTTATATATATAACTATGAGAGAGGAGTTCTGTTGACTGGTTATCAGCAGTCAGTCCCTTTCTGTGCTCTGGCATCTTAAAACGTCAAGCATTTAAACTCCCTGTTACTTTTGCGTAACATCATTAATTCAGTTTACGGTTATATCCACTGAAGACTGACCTGGAACATGATTCTTTGGAAATCAATATAAAACATGTGCTACAAAGAGAAAAATGTATTTTTTTCTGGTACAAAAGAAATGATCATTGTAGTCCTTCACAGTTTAGTCTTTATACAGCTTTTCTCTGTTTGTATGCAACTTTTTCAGGTACTGTAAGGTCCGTCCCGGTCTGCCATTTTCTTTGTGTATGCATAAATCCATACCTGACGTTAATTTCTATAATCTACTAATCGTCTACAGTTTGAATCCATCAGTAGGAGGTTATCAGAAAAATCCTAATCTACTGTACTTCATAAAATCTGACTAGTCAAACCACAGATTAAACTAACAGCTGCAGAAAATAGATTTTCTTTCTTTAAACATTGGATTAAAGCATTTTGGGGATTATTTATCAACCTAATTCATTGCAACTAAACTACAACATTGCAGCACTAAGAAAAAAGAAATGTAATGATTGTGTGTCACTAGAAACAAGACAGTTTTAATTTACTTAGGGTTTCTGCTGGGCCTTAAAAAGTCTTGAATGAGTTCAAATTTCCCCACACTAAGTATTAAATTTCCCGCTAGCTATCTAAAGTCGGTGCATCACATTAAGTGATTGCTTTTTTCACTCTTGAAATAAATAAAATAAGCCAGTTTCCACTAAAGTGGTTTATTTAGTGACACAATGGTAAATGGCCGGAATAGATCTAGTCCATTGTGCTTCACACTACATTCACACACTGATGGGGGTGAGCTACTTCGTAGTAGGTTTCTACAGATGTAGCATACATCTTGTAGTCGACCTTGAGGCAGCTACCTGTGTGCTGCAGGAAGGTGTCAAAGTCAACTACACTGGGATCAAACACCAAAATGTCCGCTTAAATTGACACGGCTGTAAAGCTATAAATGCGCCTAACTCACTCACGCTAGGTTTTTTTTTTTTTAGTACAACTGATTCAGCTTTGTGTCACTTTCCTCTCCTGCAAACTGCTTGCTGCGCCTCCTTCTGGAGAAAATAGACACTGTGGTTCGATGGGGGTGTCCGTGCAACCTCTTGACTCATCAGTGTAATAAAGCCTCAACCAAATATGTTCACTGAGTTTTATATGCTTGAATAACTCAGCTGACGTAGCTGCTAGTTACTTATTTGCACAGTTATATAAAAACGGTTTAGACGAAGGGAACAACAGCGCCAGCCACTCTTGCTTTTTGTCTTCCTGTGTCAGTTGTTTCTCTCTATGATGTTTAAAATTGGCCGTCAGAAGCAGCTGCATATTGTTGTTTTCCCTCGACTCCCATGTCATCCAAACACCTAAAACTCGTAAAACACACTTGTTGGCTTGCAATGACTCTCATTAAATCTACAAGTTTGACTTCACTCCAAAAGTGGGTGCGGCTGTGGCTCAAGACCCAAGTACTATGGTGCTTAAATCCTTCTATTCATTTAAAATTAAATATTGGTCCCAAAGATATATAAATGTAACTTTGTGAAAGTTGCAGAAAGCTTCTTTATTGAGATAAACTTTCTTTTAATTGCAAAGTTTGACTTTAATTTTAGAAATATTAGTTTTTGGCATTTTTATTTTTTGTTGAGGGATTAATCAGTTTGCAATAACTGAAGAAGGCCAGGCCGTTTTGGTATTTTGTATATTCTTACTAGTTGGAAGCAAAGACATATTTAGATAACCTGAACACCAAGCACAGCTAGTCAGACCTCGGCCTCTTTCTGCATTTCCTTGACTTTCCCTGTGAGACTTCACGTCCAACTAACTAACCTCTTGACCTACTTCTTCTTCTCCTCCCTGCCGTGTTTCTGTCAGCAGCGGCCTGTGAACCGAGCCAGCTCCTCCCACAGCCATTACCGTAAACGCAAAGTTAACCGCACGTCAAGTCGACTCATGTCTGAATAAACGGCTCTCTTCGCATATCGCCGCCTGCTGCAGCTGGTGATGATGCCTCGTAAACAAACAAACAAGCATGCACCAAAGAGCAAAGATGATGAGCAAAGGCTTCAACACAGGCCTGGTTGCACATCATGAATAATTCAAAACCTTCTGACTTGCGAGAGACGAGAGGAAAAAAAGACACCCCTCTCGTCTCTCGTGCGAGCGCTCAGTTCAAAGTGGTGGGGAGATGAGGATAGATGGAGGATCGGAGCAGTAATATGCCAGATTGAATTTATGGTATTTGGGTTGAGCCCATTTAATGATCCCTCTTAGTGCTGGAGTTGGAGGCTGTAGCTGCACATGTAAATGCTGTCATCCTGTTTATCCCACTTCATCCCATCATCTAAACCTCTTCTATCCCAAACTGTCCCGTCTAGGCCAGCAGTTCACATCTGTGCTCAGGTAATGCCGTCATTTCCAGTCAGCATCTCTGAATTTACACCTGAAATTTTTCCGAAATCACAATTCTAAGATTTTGTTGACAGATACACCATGGCTGAAAAGAATCTGGGATTTTAGTGGTTTTTCAGGACCTGATGGAGTATGGAAAATGAGAAAAAAAGAGTATGGAGAAATATGAATAGTTAGACTTCATTACCTATGTCATTGTCTAAAACGTAGGTTCATGGGCGACTGGTTTTAGCAGGTTCCATATTTAAAGCACTGAAGATGTGGTTGGACTGGGCTTTCGTCTCCTCGTTATCTGAGTTGTGTTACTGTCTTATCGTTAGCTAAAGTACACTTGTTTAGTAGGCAGTTTAACTTAAAATATAACTCAACTTTTGAAATGTATTTGTCCATTCATACTGAGCAAATAGCAATGTTTCTGCTAAATCTCCCATTCATGTCTCTCAAACACATGAATGAGCGATTTAGATGTGGAGAGAAAAAAAGGTTAAGCCTTTGTTCTGCCCTCACAACTTCTGGGATTTTCTCCACTGAAAGGCCCAGGGAAGCTCCAGCCTTCCCTCTCGATACTTTTTCACTGAAAAACCCCCCAACAAAAAACAACAGTGGTTTGTTGGGACATCCAAAAACCTCATGTGGTTCAGACCTTGTAAGGAGGGTTATGAAAAGTCGGTGCCTGTGGTCATCAGAGCAAACGTTGGACTTGCTATCAATAGCCAGGTTTAAATAAGCGTACACTGTAGACTATTGTGAGTCAAACCAACTTTTCTTTTCTTAACACAGTGTTGGGTAACACAAAGTTATCGCTCAGTGGAAGTCGGCGCTTGGCTTGGTCAGTGTGTTTTGTTTAAACGCTCTTGTGCTTTTCTGAGAAAGCCTTGAATTGATTTGTTTTGTGTGGCATCTGACTGTGGGCAGAGTGGGTAGGATTTCTCATCACAGAAGCCTGAACTGGACAACCGGCCATGGCGCTTGCAGCTAGCTCCCGGGGAAACCGGATCTGAATATGTATATGCAACAATTTTACAAAAAAAGAAAAACAATAAATAAATAAATTGTTTCCACATTTATCCTTTTCCTATTCTGTCCAACAGTAGGCACCCTTCCTAAACCTTATCAGGGCAAATGAAAATGACTATTGACTCCTAACAAGATCTCAGGATCAGTGAGATGATTTTTGTACAAGTGATTAATTTCATCACATCTGTTTGTCTTTTCAGCCCCCAGGAGTTGCAGCCCGAAGCAGTTTGTGTGTAAGGATGGAGTGACGTGCATCTCCAAGGGTTGGCGCTGTGATCGCGAGAAGGACTGCCCAGACGGATCAGATGAGGATCCTGATGTTTGTAAGTCCTCAACAACAGAGATTAATCACTGAAATTTATAATCACACAGTGTTTTACACACTAAATTAGTTTTTTAGTTAAATTTTTGGTAAAATATAAAGGAGAAATTCTAATTATCGGTGGTTGCCAGCATTGTGAAGGTGGATCCGATTCCATTTTCAAGACAGAGAAAAGTGCTTGGGTGGCCGGCCTCTGGAAAGTCACGGTCAGGCAGTACATTTTTCTTACCATGAAGAGAGTGCAGAAAAAACAAACAAACACATTTTTCAGCTGAATTTGTTCTTAAATTTTATTTTATTTTTTGCAAGGAATGCAATCTTTTTGAGTGACTGAGCCAATGTTTACATATGGGCACAATTAATCTATTTGTATATCACATTTCAGAAACATGGCAGTTCAAACACAAAAATACAAAGTCATAGAAAACACCATACAGTCAACTATTGAGAAAACCAGAAACAAACATTACATCATTTAGATGAGTGCCATTACCAAAATCATCAATATACATCAAATAAGTTGGTCAAAGCTGTTATTGTGTCTGATTTCTTTAGATGAAAATACTTGTGTGGTAACACTAAGATTGATGGCCTCCTGTTCTTGTTTGGATCTATTGTGCCAAATAAATTAGGACATTTACCAGGTTTGCCTTTCCGTGTTAAATGTGATTTTAGAGTCGACTTCTGATCCACAGCGGATGCAGCCATTGACCCAACATATGAGACAGTCTGGGGCGAAGTAAAGCCACTTTGACAGTCGCTAAGAGTCACTGTGGCCGCTTAATGTCCGGTTCGGTTCTACCCAGTGCAGTGTGTTCCTCACTGGGCGTACACATAGGCAGGATCGTTATTTGACATGATGAACTCAAATAAACCCAGAAGAAATTCATTGCCACCCCAGACATGAAGAAAATAATTCAGATGAGCTGATTAGCTTGATATATCTACAAAATCTTATCTATATTTTGAAACTTTATTTATTTTTATTTTTTTTAAACATGGGCAAACTTTAGATTCAGGCAACACAGCCAAAAGGTTTACGACTATTTCCACGGATTAACTTTACTGAAAAGAAAAACCCAGACAAAGAATAAAAAACCTCACGCCAAACTGGTGTTGGTACAAAACTGTAGCTCTGACAGAACATTAATCACAGCTCTATTGTTTCTCGCTTCCACACTGCATGCCCGTGTTTCTCTGCTTGCAGGGCTGTGAAATCACGGTCATTCTGCCCTAACAGCTGACACATGTGCTCCTGGTGTAGCTCATGATTACGCTCCTCCACTCTGAGCTGCTGTCCGATAGCAGACAACACGTCCACCGGTCCAGCGCGGCGGTTTGGATGTTGTTGTTCAAAGTTTGCAAGGTCCGGCCATTGCTAATGCAGTGACGCAAATCACAGGCATATCAGCGAACGCAGCCTGCCGTCAATCAAATCGACACGGAGACGACTCTGGCCGGTTGAAGCCGCTCCCATCCATCCATGTTTGCCATGACCTCTGCATGGCTTCTTGCCATGAGTTAGCGCTATTAATCGCTGTCTTGCCAACAGATTATTGAGCCGCAGCTCCTTCAAAGTTACCTTGGACTTCCTGACTACTTTCCATCCTACATTTCTCTGTGCAAAGCCAAAAGTTGTTGATATTGTTTTATAAGTTAATCCTGCTTTTAACTTCTCCACCACGTTATCGCTGACCTGCCTGCTGTGTTCGTTGGTCTTTGTGCTGCTGTTTGTTCACTGACGTTCTCCAACAAGCAGAGTGACCTTCACACAACACCTGGAATTTACTAATTAAGTAAGTTCAGAAGGTAATTAGGTTCACTGGGTTATTTAGGGGTGTCATGGAAAAGGGGCTGTGAATACAACTGATGACAAAACAAAACAAAAAAACATTCATCAGTTTTCTTTTCAATCATGAGCTTTTTTTTGTAATGTTCTGAAACATGAAATCTCAGTAAAACATTTTGAAAATTCAGAAAGCTCTGAGAGGTATAAATGCTTTCAAACGGCACCAAGCGTGTGTGTATGATTTTGACCAAATCAGCATGCTGACTTGCATAGAAAGTGTAGCTGCGGTCTAGACATGCGAGACTCCGAAAGCAGATGTCTGGAAGTCATTAAGAACTCGCCTTGAGGAATGGAGAAACCTGCTGTTTCTCACTACCTGCCCCCCTCACCCTCTCTCAGCTGGGCCAACCTTCCTCGTGGTTTTGCGCGACCTTTTTCTCTTCCTGACGCTGTGCCAGGCACCTTATCTAGAAGCCGCTCCACACATTTAGGCTGGAAAAAGCAGGTCCCGTGAAATTGCTGGTCCTGCAGTTGGAAGCAGTGACGTCGTTAGAAGCTGCTGCAAGAAACGCTACGGTATTTACTTGGTGCCAGCCTCAGCTGGGCGAAGAGAAAAACCTGAATTTCCTCTGGCGTGTTTGCTACCGTTGTTCACAGCCTGAACACAACAGCATCGACGTTCAAACGGTCCCCCAATTGTTTCATGTCACTTCAGATGTTATAAATTGGCATCTATTGAACAAGACATTTTAATTGCTGTCACAGTTACTGATGACAAATTATGGTCATCTTGTCCATTATTTGCATTATATTTTCAACGTTTTTGTGACTCTACAAAAGAGTGGAAGGTCTCAGCCAGAAGCAGAACCAAGTAAATCTATTCTAATTCACCGGTCCTATCTGGGACAAAAACAACATGGACGCAATCTGTCACAAGCTACTTAACTGGCTTATGGCAAGTTTTCAAAAGCAGGAACATCAAAATATTGTTTTCTGATATGAGACAACTTTTATGGTGTTCAAAGAAAAGAACAAAATGCCCTTCTGTCTAAACAACAGGAAATTGTGGTGTAAAAGTGGAAAGACACATATAATAATATCTATTGATGCCTTGTTGTGGTTTGAAGGTGTCTTGTTTGATCAAATAAACTAACCACCATGTTTAGGCTACATCTGGATGTGTCAGGTGGGCTAAAACCATCCTGTTTGGTTTCTTTTCTATTTGGAGGACTTAACACTTTCATGCATGGATTATGATCCTTTGTGTCAGGATTTTTTTTCCAATTTTTTTTATTTTTTATTTTCTTAAGGCATAAAAGAAAGGTAGGAATTTTTTATTTTTTTTTGTAAAAAATATATAGTTTTTATTTTATTTTATTTAGGTGATCAATTGTAATTTTCTTCAAATACAAAGTTGTTATTTGAAAAATACATCAGTAGTATTGTTCTTTAGGGGTTTTCTGATGTCACAATATTTTTTTTACCTGCCAAAGTCGTCTACAGTAGGAGGAGGGACCGGATCAGTCGGCCATATTGGATTAAAAAAAAATAACTTCTTGCATTTGCAGCGGATGGCCAGTAGTTGATAGTGTATTATATGATGCATTAGTGTCCACTTCAGTGGTCTGTGTGCATTCATAACATAAAAATCCACAAGAAGCACAAGAAAATGGCTTTTAGACAGCCGTGCACTGTAGTGACCACTGTGCATGAAAGGGTTAAAGAGACAGGATATGCCCTTGGATATCCAGTCTTTGGAGGGGGATGCTGTCTCCGTTTGCTTTAAGAAAAGGTTTAGGTGCTTTTGTCAAAGGCGTTTCTGTTTAGACTATTCCTGATTGACTGGAGGACGAGTCTTTGTGTTTCCCCACACAGGTGGCTTCTGCATTTGGTTTAAATAACTACTTAGAATTTTCTGTTCCCTCTGTGCTCGTAAAGCTCCAAGTTAAGTCTGATGTTACTGCGTATTTTTCTTGTTGTCAGAGAAACAATGACTTTAAGCCAATTCTGATTATTTCCTAAACCTTGGTAGAATCCTGGTTCACAAGACAAACATAACAACAAGTAACACGACATCCTAATGTAATTAAGACGGCCTTTTAGCTGTAAATGCAACTTTAACCTTAAAAGCTCTCAAATGCTGCTTGGTTCAAAAGCAGCCGATTTCCAAGACATGTATTGGTTTCATGTAAAAACATTTTTATCGAGTTTCCAGCCGAATGCCAGCAACATATTTCATGTCATGTCATCGCATTGATGTGATCAATGTTTCATGGCTCAACAGGCCTCAACATCCGCCTGGGGGCTTTGTGGTTCCTGTGAAGTGAGCCACTGTCCATTTCCTTTCCCACCCTCACAATGTCTTTATAAACTGGGTTACTGGGTCAGATGGACGTGGCGGGCAAATGCTAAGAAGAAAGCCATAGCCAAAGAAATGTGTGCATGTGCATTTTGTGCAGCATTGTGTGTCATTTTGGGTTAATGAGCATCAGCAGAAATATTAAGAGATGTTCACCTGGGCGACTGGTCACCTACCAGAGTTTGGGGCGTAGGACTGATGTCTCCATTGAAACTCCGTCCCACGGCGAGGGCAGCTTCTGTCTCAGCTTGAAATTAGAAGATGAGGAGCAAGAGCCTCACAAACGAAAAGAAGTGATATGTTAGTCATTTGGCGAATGATATTTACAAGTAGGCTGTGGTGAAATTGGTCAAAATGTGTTCCACTTTGTTTCAGCAAATCATGTTGCACAATCACTGACTCTACAGAGAAAACAACAAACATTAAGTCCTGTTTTACGATGTCCTAATTTAAAAAAAAGAAGAAAAAAAGTGCCTAGTAATGATCTTGTAATCAACTTTTACTTTTTATGAATTTGCTTTCTGTTACCTTTTGTTCTTGACTAATTTTCCTTTTCTATTACAAGACTAATCCCTCAGTTTCCACTGGCCAGAAATCTTGTGGCCCGCCTCTGATTTGTATGGAAGTCCAGAAGTGCCTTTTGTATTAAGAAGTAAATTTGTTGGTTGCTTTTTTTGGTCTATGATATCTCCTGTATCGTTTGCACTATGCATAACAGGTCTAATTACTCAGCTTGTATAAGTGTTATTGAGTGATTCTTACTTAGTCAACCAAGCAGAATACTTTATTGCACTGTAGAGACCACTTGTCCCCCAACCTGGTCCTCAGGCCCCCTGGCCTGCATGTTTTAGAC